GATAAAATCCAGAGCAAACTTGATTGTTGGTCGGCTCAGACCCTTTCGTTCACTGGACGGGTTACTTTTGCTAAAACGGTTCTTCAAAGTATTCCAACATATGTTATGCAAGATAGTAAGCTTCCGAAATATCTCTGTGATGACATTGAACGGGCTATCCTTCGTTTTATATGGGGCTCCACAGCCCAGGCCACCTCCATCTCTTTAGTTCGATGGGAGACTCTCTGTCAGCCATTTTCGACGGGTGGATTAAGATTGCGAAAGATGGAATTTCAAAATGTTGCACTCCTTTTTAAAGCTTGCAATGCCGTAATCCTCTCTCCTGATTTTTGAATTCGATTTTTACGTGAAAAATATAGGGTCACTGAGATTTGCCCTTTCTCGATTGCTCGCTCATCTTGCTCTCCCTTTTGGCGTCAATTATCAAATTTGTGGCCATCATTCCATGCTAATCTGGCATGGTCTTTGGCAAATGGAATTTCTGTTAGCTTTTGGACCGATGTATGGCTCCCAGAGGTTGATAATCTCATAATTTTGCAGCTTCCGATCGCCCTCCTGATATTTCGCTTTAAGTTGAGAATGTCCTCAATCCTGATGGCTCTTGGAATTTGATTATCACTTAATCCTGGTGTTATTCCTCAAGTTAAACGTTGCCTAGATCCAACTCCTACCATGAGGCCCGATGTGTGCTATTGTCCGGGAGTGCAAGCCGGTCTTTTACGGTAAAAAGTGCGTACAACACTTTATGTCACTCGTCTTGGGAGGAAAAACGTCCTTGCTAGTCTGTCATTTGGAAACTTCCAGTTCCTGAACGTGTACGTGGCTTCCTTTGGCTAGCCATGCATGATAAAGCGCTTACAAATCACGCTAGGTGTGTGCGAGAGTTTAGCCAAGATCACTCGTATGTCTCTTGTTCTAGTGAAAGTGAGACGATGCTTCACATCTTAAGAGATTGCCACGCCTCCCGTAGTCCCGTTGGATCTGGAATTCTCTTCTCGCGAAATACCCTCTCTTTCTTTCTATACATGTTCTCGTGATGATTGGCTACTGGAAAATTTAAATTCAACGTTTTTCTGTGCTGAGATTCAGGGCCCTTGGAATGTGATGTTTGCTCCACTAACTTGGCAGTTATGGGAAGCTCTAAACCTTGATGTTTTCCAAAACTAGATCATTCCTCCAACATCAATCCTTCATCTCAGTCTCGCGTGGAGCAAACTCTACCTTGGTTGCATCACTAGTAGAGGACCTGGTGTTGTACCAGCACTGAATTATGTTCAGTTGAAGTGTCTTAACCCAGTATGGGTTGTTCTAAACTCAGATGGTGCCGTTTCCCGCACTACTAATCACGGGTCCATTGGAGGCCTCTTCCGGGATCACACTGGTTCTTATCTTGGAGCTTATACAAAGTTTTTAGGCCTCACAACAGCTTTTGATGTAGAACTTTGGGGGTGTTTATGAAGCCTAAAACTAGCGTGGACTTTTGTTTTGAAAAGTTGATTGTACATACGGATAACAGAGACGTTTATCGTCTGCGTTCCCCAGCTTCGGTGACTAGTCCTTTTGCAGCAGTCCGTATGATTGCGTCCTATTGTGCCAAAGCTTGGTATGTTGATTTTCTTTGTGTTCCTCGAGAAGCAAACATGGCTGCAGATCAATTAGCAAAGATGGCATCGACAAGTACCTTTTCACTTGTCTCTTTTGAATCCCTACCAGCATCTCTTCAAGAAGTCTTATACATGGACTTGCATGGACCACCTTTTATCCATGTAAAAGCCTAATCTATGGCTCCCTTTCCATTAAAAAAAAGTACGTTTAACATCGAACTTAATATGAATAGGAATAAGACTTTCGATAAATATATAATTTTTCACTCATTCAATTTTTTAATATATACTACCTTATAATTACTTTAATATATACTATATTATAATTACTTCAAATTACTAAAAAATAATAATTATATATAGGATTATTATCTTACATCCAAAGTCATAATAATGCAAAATTATTTTTGAGAAATTACATTTCAAGTTTCCACAAATAAAAATAATGTCCATAAAAAGCCGTTCAAAACTCGACAAGGATTTGATTTGTAATATTCTTGTATATATGTTTTCTTGCATAATCCGTTGGATTATATAAGCAATTTATTTGGCAAACAAGAGATTAAACCCCACCAACCGACATAAGCACATTACATCCATAATTATAAGCTCCAAAACACCCCCTTTCCCCTAAGCATATGGATTTAAATTCAACTAAATTTTGTAGATTTTTTGAATGGGATTTAGTATCTTTGGTTCAATCATATAGGCATATGGGATCATAAAAAAAGGTTGCCATTTCAACATCAATTTCTCCCTTACTAGCAAATCAAATTATTGGTAGTGACGATGTCGACAAATAATTTTTTTTTAAATAATTACTTTAAAAAAATTAATGTCCAATTTTTTTCTTCAAAAAAGTAAACTTTAAAAGAACTTTTATAACTTTTAAATCTTTAAAAAATTCAAAATATAATAAGAATTTTTAAATTATTTAAAATATTAAATAATGACATTCTAAAATTTTGAAAACCAATACCCTCTCACCCGTGATGGTCCCTCCCTATTATTGAGTACTTATTTAAAACTGAAAAAGGATAATGAACTCCATGAATGGGTTCATTGCATGCACAAGGGTTTTTATTTTTTTTAAAAAGAGAAGAAAATTAATTATAAAAGCAATTAAATAATGCACCAATAAGGAAAGTTTTGTTTTATGTCATAGATTCAGGTTTTTGGTTGATATCACGTCTAATCCGTACTTATGATTGTGTGGATAACAATAAATTTGAGCTTGATAAGGTAATTAGGAACATTTTGGATCAGGTTTTTAATTCTCTTTAGAATCTGTGACCTAATTCTGTCCAAGATTAAAGTTTGGACATGTTTCTAATACTATGAGTCGGCTTGGATCATTCAGGAATGGACATGGTTGGGTTCAGGATGGAATTCGGTCAATTTGACCTCGACCTGAAAATATATACATTTCACCTGAAACTCGATCTAAATTTAGGAGTGAATTCATCTTATCTGAACCCGATTTGACCAGGCCCGAAATAAATAAATAAATAAATATTTTTTTATTCAATAAATACATGGATCTAATTAAAAAAAATGATATATAAAGGTTATTATTGTAATTATTCTTAAATATATAAAGTGAATTTAATTTTTTTTCGGGTCGGTCGAGTTGGGTAGTTTTCACCTTGATCCCGATCCGAACATACCCTCTAAAAAAACCATGCTCGAACTCGACTGGAAACCAATTTTTTTTAAAAAAAATCAACCCGATCAGGTCGGACCGAAACTCATCGGATTCGAGGCTCGTGTCCATCCCTATTCATCACTTAATAAAATAATAAAATTTTAAATAACAAATTAGCCAGGCCTCTGAAAATCTTGGAGATTCACAAGGTTGCAATTTGAAAATCTTTGAACTTGATCAAAGATGAGTACAATACAAGTTTATGTAGTGTTGGAGTACCTCTTAAGAACTCTTAATGTTATTTTAAGGGATAACTGCCTCTATCGGCCTATCCTCGTCTATCCTCAACGTACTATTTCAGATCATAGTATAATATCAACGTTGAAATAAAAACAAACCATGCAGAAATAACGATTGAAGGTATATGAGCCTCAAAAGTTAGTGTATAAAGCCCAAATTAAACTTGCACGCCACAATGAACCCAACTCAAGTTGAAGGTATATTTTAAAATTGGCTTAATAGTTGCGTAAACTATACTTCAAATTAATTGTTGGTGTCTAAATTATTTTTTTGTTAAAAATAGATACTTAATATTTTCAATGTTACACTTTTAGATGTCTGGACCATAACGGCTGTTAAATTCTACCGTTAACTAACACGTGTCACCTATATAAAATTTCATTTTTTTTAAAAAAATATATACTTTTAGCTGCCTAAACAATACCTCAAATTGACTTTTGGTGCTTAAAGAATTTTTTTGTTAAAAATAGTTTCCTAATGTTTTCTCCATTACACTTTTAGGTACTTACAGTTGTATTTTTTTTATTTTTTAAAAATAAAAAATATTATTTAAAAATTAAAAAAAAAAATAAACTCTCCCTACGTCATTCCTCTCCCTCCCATCTCCCACCTCCAATGACGATGAAAGGTCACCACCGACTGGATGACTGGATTTTGTTCAGAGCTGGACGAGAAGTTCAATCGTAGCGGCCATATAACGTACGACTAGTTGTAGCTGTTAAAATCATCAAAAAACAACGAAGGAAGACTTAGAAAATTGACGACCCTTCACAACACTTTTCACGATGAGCAACGCAGTTCCACAGTGGGTAAGGAAATGAGTTTTGGTCGCAACTACAACATAGTTCTAATAGTGTCAACGATGACGACTACATACCGACGATAAATTGACTATAGAATTTTGAGATCTTATTAGAGTTTTTAAATTTATAACATTAATTTTTTTTTAAAATTTTAAATTTAGAAGGTAATGATCAAATTTGACGATCATTATGGTTCAAACAACTAAAATTGTAATGTTAAATAATTTCTGACAAAAAAACTAAGCATCAAAATTTAATTTAAACACCTAAAAGTATATTAACTACTAAGATAATAGGCCTGCTTGTTTAATTTTACAACAAATGTCCTTATAATGATTTCTATGTCAGATTTAATCATCACCACTCCAGTTGAAATTTCAATCTAAAATACACAAATGTTAAGCAAAAATTAGTATATCTTATGGATTGATTGATATCAGAATTGTGTTGAATCGAAGACTAATAGGTTAATATTAGTTCGAAAATGTTAAAATAAGTTCGCAACAAATGGTTATTCCTCATTAACCCTGCAGGTCTACACAACAATCACTGTTTCTTGATGTTCTTACAATAATAAAACTAAACAATGAGCTTTGTCTTCAAAACTGAAGAAGAATATAACAGAAAACTCTGGGTTTTTTCAGGCATTCAGAATGAGTAGGAGATTATAGATCATCAAAATGATCAGATAATGTTTCATAAATTCATTCTCATTATGCCTTAACGCACCAGAGAGAAGAAAAAAAACTGTTTAAAGTTAAAAATGTAAATCGGTGAAATCTGTCTAAATTTGTGTTTTGAACAATAAGTTTAGAAAATAACCATAAATTCTACATAAATGATTAGGGGATGATTTTTATACCATTGTATTCATATATCAATCTAGTTTTATTTAAAAAAAACGGAAACTGATTTCGAGATGTATTCAAAAAATATAATTTTTTAATTGAGGATACATAAGAAAACAGAGCCGCATTTTCTGCTCAAAACAACTTCTTTTAGTCAAATTTGAAAATTTACTATAAGTTTTACAAATGGAACTAGAAGGGGTGCCTTATATGGTTAGATTTGTATTTGAGTCTAATTTCCAGTGGTATAATGTTAGATGGATATCAAAGAAGTGTTACACGTGTATGAGGAGGTAGTTATTTTGTTAGTTTGGTTAACTAGGTCTGTTAGTTTGTTAGTCCGTTATTGGGGAGCTGATGAGCTTAACCTTTCTTATAAATGTAGTGTCCCTGCTGAGATGAATACAACATATACTTTCTTGTGTATACTTGCGTTTGTAATCACTTCTTAACATGGTATCTTTCACCAAAGTCCTGGGAATTTTGGTTTCACGCTTCTAAACTTTCTCTCTCTGGTTCTTCACTCATGGTGCACAATGGGTTTAGTCAGCAAACTGCTGACTCAGTTTCCATGGATTCTACAACTTCCCATTTTTTCCATTAATCTCTACAATTTCATAGCTGAAACCGTCGCTAACTCCGTCACTTTGACCGTCACCATCAATGATGACGTGTCGGGTGTATAAGATTGTATTGACAATGGTAGTGTACAGATTGGAGGTTCAGATAATTTGAAAACATCGTTTTTGAGCTCCGATGGGAGCATCGATGTTCATGCTGGTGAAAGATTAGGTCGCGGCGTTGTTACTGATGCAATTACCACTCCGGTCGTTAATACTTCTGCTTACTTCTTTAAGAAAACTCAAGAGCTTATTGACTTCAAGGAGAAACACCATACAAGTTTTGAATACAGGCGGTATGGAAATCCAACTATAGTCGTTGTGGAGAAGAAGATAAGTGCATTTGAGGGGACTGAATCGACCCTGATTATGGCATCTGGTACGTGTGCCAGCACGATCATGCTGATGGCATTAGTCCCTGCCGGGGGACATATGGTAACAACAACAGATTGCTACCGGAAAACTAGGATTTTATTGAGAACTTTCTGCCTAAAATAGGAATCTCGGTTACTGTTATTGACCCCACAGATGTGGATGGCCTGGAGGCTGCACTCAGTGAGAACAAAGTTTCTCCTTTCTTTATCGAGTCTCCCACAAACCCTTTCCTAAGATGTGTTGACATAGAAAGAGTTTCAAAGATGTGTCACAGCAAGCATTTCGGCCGCAAGGGAGCTGTGTTCAACTTACTCTGTGGTGATGCAGACCAAATGTTTCAATGATGTTGCTGGTGTTTGGTTTGTTTCACATTGTTGTTATAGAATAGGTTTTTTTTAAGAATTTTTTTGTTGAATGTTCTTCCACATCAAAAGTTTGCATCGATTCAAGTCGAACGGAGGGAAACATCGACACTTCCGATTCAAGTTGAACGGAGGGAAGCATCGACACTTCCGATTCAAATCAAACGGAAGGAAGCATCGACACTTCCGATTCAAGTGAACGAAAAGAAGCATCGACACTTTCGATTCAAGTCGAACGGAGGGAATCATCGGCACTTTCGATTCGAATCAAACGGAAGGAATCATCGACACTTCCGATTCAAATCGAATGGAAAGAAGCATCGGATTGTTTGATTCAAGTGTTCATTTCTTCATCAAGAAGGAAAAGTAGCTGGAATGTTAGATTGTTGTCAAAGAGGAGAAAAGGAAGAGTAGGGGGAATGTTAGATGGATATCAAAGAAGTGTTACACTTGTATGAGGAGGTAGTTATTTTGTTAGTTTGGTTAACTAGGTCTGTTAGTTTGTTAGTCCATTACTGGGGAGCTGATGAACTTAACATTTCTTATAAATGTAATGTCCTTGCTGAGATGAATACAACATATACTTTCCTGTGTATACTTGCGTTTGTAATCACTTCTTAACATATAAACAGAATAATTTTTAAGTGTGTATATTAATACAAAATAATATCTCTTTGAAGGTAGTGTAAACTGCCATAATATGAAATATAATATAAAATTGTGGTAAAAATTGGGATCGAACCAAATTGAATGCAGATGATTAAATTGAAGCTTAGTGAGGCTTATATTTACTTGATTATAATTTCAATGTGAGTGCAAGACATGCATAACATTATACATAGATGTTTTATACATCATCAGGTAGGACTTGTGATAAGTCTACCTTATCTATGTTGGCGTGATATTTATGTTATTTATCATATATTTGACGTATTCTAAATATGTCAAAAGTTGAGTATAAAATGCTTTGATCATTGGTTATTATATATGATTTTTGTTTTGTATATATATATATATATGATGTTATTTTGAGTATGAACTGCCCAATGGGAAATTATATTAATATTGTAACACCCTAATTTAGGGGCCAAATTTAAAAAAATATAAATTGGTGAATTTAATTGGTATTTTTGGAAGAAATCAGAGATTAAATTATAAGATTTCAAAGTTAGCAGACCGTTTTAAGAAGTGTAGGAAATTTAGTGGCTAAACCTATGATTTAGCCATTTTTATTTTGGAGAGAATTATAAATCTCTCCCCCGTATGTTTTCTGGAAATTTTTCCAGATTTTCCTCTTCATCAACCCCTCTTTGAACTCCGATCTACTCGCCGTTCGACCTCCAATCGACGAGCCGAAACCACCATCGTGTTCGTTGTCAACCGAGGAACAAAACCCCTCAAACCTTTCGTCGTGAATTTCAGTCGGAAGTATCGTCGGTAATAACTCGGTTTTAGTTGGTCTTTCATCGATTCACTACGATCAGGTCATCTGTTTACGATACCTCCCGCACCATCGTGTTCCTTGTGCCGTTCCGAGTCCACCGGTGTCCTCCCTTTTCTCCGGCGGCGGCGGCGCGTGTGGAGGTGAAGCGGTCAAAGTTTCCGATTCGTTGAAATCGAGCTCTCCGCCGTTCAAAAATTTGAACCGAGCTTTGTAAGTATCTCGAAATCGCTTAAAATAATTTTTAAGAATTTTTTCGGGAATTTTTCGATATCAGGGCACTATTCACGCGCCCTCACGCGCCGCCACTGCACGCGGGGAAGAAAAAAGTGACCGGTTTGACCGGTTTTGGTGTACAGTTAACCGGTTTGACCGATCACAACCCGACCCGACCCGTTGACCCAACCGACCCGTTGACCCGTTGATCGTTAACCCATTGACCGTTGACCGGCGTTGACCACTGTTGACCAAAACTTTGACGGGCTTTGATCGGGCAGTAAACGACATTTGTTTTTGACCGAGCATACCTATCCTGACATTTTTTGACGTTCCAAATCCGATTCCGCAATCCGTTTTTCAAAATTCAGACCCGAAGGCCTCGAAATTGCCGGTCAAACCAGTTGACTTTCCAAATTTCCGAAAAGTCATATTTTATGCTTTCGACGTCCTGAATCCGAATCCGAAGTCCGTTTTGCCAAATTCGAACCCGATAAGCTTTCTTTCACTGATTTATCACTTGATTCGATCCATTTATCGCAATTAAGCTTCGTTTCTGATATAATTTATGTTAATATATATCTGAGGAATTATTGGAAGTTGAATTGAAGATCAAAGGCGTTCGAATGGAATTTTTATGGTCGATCAGTATTGCACGAAAATCGAGGTAATACTTTACTACCTCTTTATGCATTATAGAACATATTGGTATTGGTAAATGCATGAATAGAAATGTTTGGTCTCGTATGTATAATTAATGAAGATCTACACTAGATACGAATACGTTAGAAAGTAGGTAACTGAATATGGCTCAGATTACTATTATAAGAAATTGGAGGACAGTTGGAATTAAATTACAAGTTCTTGAATTAAGTGATAAAAGAATCAACCATGGATATGTAGATTATAATTTATCTCATTAAAGGTACTTAGATGATAAATTATGAGAATATTTCGATTAGGTAAAATTATGAAATTACCCTTATGTTGGAAAATGACAAGAATTGTCCCTGGAAGTGGATTAATAAATCTGAAAAGAATTATTGATCTGCTAAAACTATTGATGTGCATAAGAAATGTTAGTTTTACTTGGAAATTATGGATAACCGATTTTTAACCCCAAGAAGGTTTATACTAGATACTAGAAATCTTTTAAGGAATCATTTCAAGATCAAAGAATGTTCGAGGAAGCAATTAATCATAGGATCTCTATATTATATTATTTTCGTTAAGAGCTAATATCGAAATTATCTGGTTAAGAAATTACGAAAATGCCCTTGAGAGGTAAAATAGTCGGAGTTGACCCTGAAGGAGAAAACACTTTGAGGATTTATACTTAACTCGATTAAGTACAAAGTTAATTATTAATATTCTGTCTTTGTAAAGAAAAATTCATAATATTGCGTTTGTAAAATCCGAGAAGGCACTTGACCCGAAAATATCCGAGTTATGAGAAAATACCTGAAGAATAATTTATCGGGGTGTTCTGTTATCATAATTGTTCAAAAGGACTGAAGTAAATGATAAGTTTGAATTTAATAATAAGATCAGATAGAAGGAAATGATTGTAATACAATGGATATGTAAAATGACCAAAATACCCTTGGTATAGAAATGACCCAAGAATATCACCAAGCTCAAGAATGATTGGATATCCTCGAACTCTGAAATGAATGGAATAAAACTGAACACCAAAATAATCTTATGGTCTAAATTAAGTAAATGTCTTGGATTAATTAAGGAATCCAAGAAAGCACAGGTATTAGACTACCTTTAAAGGTAATGGAAAACAATTTAAGTGAGTAGATCAACCCTAAAGCTATGTTAATACCTGAATGAAATATATATTACTGGAATGTG